CATCAGGATGGGTTCACAGGTCTTCCGGGCTCTTCGATCCCTGCAGTGCTGCCTCTGGGATGAAGTGCTGAGCTGAGAACCAAATGGCATCGACCACATGGCCTCTTTATACTCCTTCCTGGCCTCTTCTGGTATGCAGCAGGTCACCTGGTCAGAGGCCAATCTCTGTGTTTCCTGCTGGCTGCTCTCAGGTGACAGCCCCTATTCTTTGGGTGTGTCCTTGGCCTATCAAGTGCCATTGTCCTACAGGGCCTGGCTAATCAGCCTGCCCATAGCAATGCTTAACCACATTCAGAGAAATATTCAGCTTCCACACAGATTACAGATTCAGACATTATACACTCACATAAATAGCGTACATAAGATCAGCAAACAATAAGCTCCCATTCAATACCCCACATGGCTCCCTTTTATACCAATTTCTGGGGCCAACACCCCCACCTAGGGGTGCAGCAGCGATCTGGCTGCTTCCCTCCAATTCGGTAATGTGACACTGAGCACTGGCTCTAAGCTTGTAAATGAAGTCATTCTTCTGCTCTACTCTGTGCTGATTAGGCCTCAATTGGAGTGTTGTCCAGTTCTGGGCACCACACTTCAAGAAAGATGTGGAGAAATTGGAGAAGGTCCAGAGAAGAGCAGCAAGAATGATTTAAAGCTCTAGAGAACATGAGCTATGGGGGAAGATTACTGAGAAAATTGGGTTTGTTTAGTTTAGAAAAGAGAAAACTGAGAGGGGACAGGGTAGCAGTTTTTCAAGTACCTAAAAGAATGTTACAAGGAGGAGGGAGAAAAATTGTTCTTCTTGGCCTCTGAGGACAGGACAAGAAGCAATGGGCTTAAATTGCAGCAAGGGAGGCTTAGGTTGGACATTAGGAAAAACTTCCTGCCTGTTAGAGTGGTGAAACACTGGAATAAATTGCCTGGGGGGTTGTGGAATCGCCATCTCTGGGGATATTTCAGAGCAGGTTGGACAGACACCTGTCAGGGATGCTCTAGATGGTGCTTGGTCCTGCCGTGAGGGCAGGGGACTGGACTCGGTCTCTCGAGGTCCCTTCCAGTTGTATGATTCTATGAAGAGTCTTCCTAAATGCCGTGGTTCTGGGCACGTCTGTAATTTTAATAGTGCCTGACGGCACAGAGCACTGATGATTTTAGTTGCCCTTTTGGAGGATTTGCGGTCTTCCTTCAAGTGTTGTCTTCTATCATGCAACAGTCTGAGTCTGTTACCTTGCGCCTGGATTAAGTACTGGTCAAGCCTCCGAAATCCGGGACACTCTGGTCCAGCAGGACCATGGATGTTGCTGGATCTGAGCGCCCTGGTGCCTGGGAGTGCGAGCCCTGTCCCCAGGGAGCCCTGGCTGGGTGGGGCAGCCAGCAAAGCAGGGGCAGCCGGAAAGTCCCTGGCAGGGCACAGCAGAAGCGGGACAGCTAACACGCCCCATCCCTGCGGATTCCTGGTCGGGCGGGCGAGAAGTGGGGCTGCTACAACTGGAGCGCTCTGTCTATGGGGAGCCCCCAGGGATCAGAGCCCAAGTCCAGACCCTGCACGCTGGAGCCCAGTGACAGCGGGCCTGGAACAGAGCCTGCCGCAGGGAGGGGGAGCGTCTTGGGAGGCCAGTTGCAGGGACCTCCCTGTATCTGGCAAATTCCCTCCTTGGGGATGGATCTGGTCCCCAGGGTGCCGGACTGGGGAAGTGTAAAAGGCTGCCTTTTGGATTTGGTGGCAGCATTTTGCACCCACATTGTACTAATAACGTAGATGACTAGATACGTGCAGAGTAAGAGAATTGGATACTGGATTAATACTGAACATTACTCTTCTGAGGCCTAATCAGGACGTTCCACCTGCGTGCCCAGGTACATGCCATTGTACAGTCCCCTCTCGTGGCTAATCTCATGTGAAGACAAACTGAGATCTTATTGCTGACAGCAAATATAGTGTCTCTCCGGATGTTGTGTTACATGTCAGTGAGCTGGGACCTTGATGAAAACAGCAATAGCTGCAATGGGCTGATTATCAAAACCCAGCTGGAGAGCTGAGCAGTGCAAGCAAAGCTGCAGTTAGCAGCAGCTGAGGGACTCTGCGCACTTGGTTCCTTGCAGCAGTTTGCGAATGTAAACACTCCTTTGCACAGCTGGGTAATGCTGCGCTGCGCTGGGAAATGCAGCGTTAAACATGAATAACTCGGAGCTTCAGGAGCAATCCCAGAGGGTCCCAAGTGGGAGAACTACCCTTTCATCTTGAAGACACCTACAGATTTTGATGGGGGTCGCATGAGAAATGAGCTACAACTGCTCAAGAGCGAGATCTTGGAGTCACTGTGGATAGTTTTCTGAGAACATCCACTCAGTGTGCAGCGGCCGTCAAAAAAGCAAATAGAATGTTAGGAATCCTTATGTCATTGGAGGAAAAATAGAAAACACGTATGACTAATGTCTTTGTATTGCAGTTCTGATAGGCCATCGGGATGTGGGAGCCATCGTGTCCTGCACCCTCATCCACAGTCAGATGTGATTCAGCCTGTATCCCAAGCTAGGCAAGACTGACCTACCCCCGGCTCTTGGTCCCAGCCCCCCTCCCCCACCAGGCTCCTCTGCCGGCCTTTGTCCTGTTTCCAGGATAAAAGGGGGGATCACCTGGTTGCATGCCCTCCCAGGCTCAGATTGACACGAGGGAGGTGGTTGTACTGAAATTCCCATCACCATTTAGGTAGTAGATGGTGCCCAGGGAAACTGAGGCACACACACATGGGGTTACTGTAGGATACCCACACACAATATAACAAAGCAGATAAAATCCCCACTGTGCACACCATAAAACAGATATCTGTTCTGCTGGTTTTTCTTATAATATGCAGTAATAGCAAGTTTAAACTGGAGAAAAATAATATCCAGTAGCCTGGTGGGGTAGGGGCACTGGGACCAGGAGCTGGGGGTAGGTCAGTCTTGCCTAGCTTGGGATACAGGCTGAATCACATCTGACTGTGGATGAGGGTGCAGGACACGATATTTGGCTCCAGTCGAATGCAATTTCCAGGTAGTTAGCCAAATACTAATACTACTTGGCACTTGTATGTTACTCTGTAAATTCAGATATTAATCACACTGAAGGCAAATTAGCACACAGATGGTGTCCGAAGCTACCACAATTCACCTTCCTCCCCTCCCCCCCATAATGGGAGTAAGAGATGTGAAAAGAGTTCATACAAGTTATCTATAGATGACTATATTCCCCACATAACAGATGGGGAAACTGAGGCTCAGATGAAGTAACATAACCAAGGTTACCCAGTAAATCATTGCTAGAGCAGAGACTAGAACTTTGTCTGGCATCTGGTACTACGGCCAGTTCCTTGGCTCACTCGGCCCTTTTACGTGCCGATTAAACACTGCCTACACCAAAACAAAATGCTGCACGCTATTGTTTGCTTCAGGACGGAGCAGTTGTGAGGGGTCCCTAGCCTAGAAAAGTAGCAGCTGCTACAGATGAGGATGGAGGTGCTTGAGCGGAGTTACAGGAAGATTGGAAGCCAAACATTTCTGTCCTGAAAGGCTCTGAATTTACCATGCTGTCTGTTCCGGCTCCGGCCTGCGGCCACTGCCTCACGCACAGATCTGTTGTTTAAGCAGACAGAATGGGGAAGGTGGTGTTGGTACCCTACATCCCTCTCAGATTTCATCTCTCATGGCATTGGCTAGAACCCAGACCCCGCTGGTGGAAGGCCGGTTGCCCCCTGCAACTGCCTGCCCAGCACAAGTGTAACGCTAACACCAGCCACAGCTGGTGTCTGGATTTAGCAGAATGTGCTCTGTATGGTAGAGTTACACAGAGTGTGCTGCTAACTCAGGGGCGGGTTTGGCAGTGGTACTGCCAGAGGGAGAGCGTCTCTTGAGGCCTGAGTCCCCAGAAGGGAAAACTGTGGGCTTATTGCCGGCAATAATAAAACTGCTTCCACTAACCCATTTTTGGGAAATGGGCCATCGTGGCTGGGCACGCCGGTGGAAGAATTTGCGCTCTTTGTCCTGTAGAAAACTTCAGAAAATACCTGACGTGTGCAATGTCGGTATTTTCTGAATTCCCGGCTGGGCACTGGACGGAAGCCTGGCAAGGCTGGCTGCCCCCTGCAACTGCCTGCCCAGCACAAGTGTAACGCTAACACCAGCCACAGCTGGTGTCTGGATTTAGCAGAATGTGCTCTGTATGGTAGAGTTACACTGAGTGTGCTGCTAACTCAGGGGCGGGTTTGGCAGTGGTACTGCCAGAGGGAGAGCGTCTCTTGAGGCCTGAGTCCCCAGAAGGGAAAACTGTGGGCTTATTGCCGGCAATAATAAAACTGCTTCCACTAACCTATTTTTGGGAAATGGGCCATCGTGGCTGGGCACGCCGGTGGAAGAATTTGCGCTCTTTGTCCTGTAGAAAACTTCAGAAAATACCTGACGCGTGCAATGTCGGTATTTTCTGAATTCCCGGCTGGGCACTGGACGGAAGCCTGGCGGGGCAGCGACTGGGAGGTGG